TGCTAGAACTTATCTGTCAGTAAGACAACTACTATTTTTGTGATTTATAAGCATTAGATGCTTCCATAACATAGCTTGATAATACTGCGAACAGCTTTGGATCTTTCTCTCCCATTAGAACATTGAATGTACCGCGTATGATGCCGAGATGTTGAAGAAGGCTATTAAACTTGAAAGTATCGCAAAAGTGAGAAGTTGTATGAAACGTTTCCTATATAAAATGGCCTCAGAAGTGCACTTTTTTGTGTTCTGAATGTATTCTTGTGTTTGTCAAATCAGTGTGTAGTGGTAGAGTTTAGTTTTTGCGAAGTAAGCAAGGGATCAGTTTCTCAGAAATTGGCTTACATCTCTTTATATTCTATGCTCGAATATGGCAAAGTTTGTTGCTAATTGCAGCTAATTTCATAACTTTTTAAAACCCAATTAAACTTCATGCTGGCATACTGTAGAATGGTCATAAAAAGCTCTTTCATCGCCTGATGTCATGTTTCCTGTCATTCACGGTAGTGAGGTTAAAGCATCCGTTTCATACTATAAGTAAACACGCAAAGCATAATGTTTAAACTTTTAAAAATTTTAGTTGACTCACATATTGGAATTTACTTTTCGAAGGTTCAGATTGCATAAGCTGTGGAACTTGTGGAATGAACAAAGAATGATATTGGTAGCATAATCTTCTCTCTAAAAAACGTCACTTAAAATTGTACAAAGCGAATTTGAAAATAGAATTTCTAACCTTAAATTTTTACGTTGAAGCGATGTAATAATTTCATAATTCACAAGAACGCTTTCGCTTCTAAAATCAAACATTGATAGATCAATATACACAAATGAGATATCATTCACATAGGAAACATAACTTCCTTTAGAATTGCTTGTTATCAGTCTGGTAAATCACTGTGCTTCAGGGGTCTGACAAATCTTCAATACACTTATATTCGAAAATTCCTTATCTGTTTGTCTTGTATCACTCCAATTGAATTTTTCATTTGCTTCAGCGTCTGATTCCAGCCCGGTTATCACGACATTATTTATTTGCTATCAACGAGTAAGCTCCAAGTCAACTTAACAAGAAATCATGCGGCAGTGATCTTTGTAAATTGGATACTGTGTGTTGCTTGCAGATATCAAGGTTTCTTTGGTGTTCTTGGGAAGATTTGATTTTAGCGTTTTATGCCAATCATCTGTTTCGGATGGAAAAAGCATGTGTGCCTCAGGTTTCAGTGAGGAAGTTCGCCTTTTTGTCCGAAACAAAGTTTTGTCCTTTCACGCTTCTTTTTTACAAAGATTGGCACTTATGACGATAGCCTTAATGCTAGTAAAAGCATCACGTCCGCCCTTTTTTCTCTGACGAGAGATGTTCATCACAAGTAAAACTTTCAAAAGATTCTGACCTATTAATTCACCAAATCAGAATAGGTGGGTATACAACAAAATTTGCCACGCGAAGGATGAAATATGCAAATTGTATGCTTCTTTGTTTTACATGACATTTGTGCATGTTCGAACTCGTCTAGTTGTCATTTTCCGGTCC